GAGATAAAATGAAATACGAATAACTAAGTATCTAAGATAACTTTCACTAACACTTGAAGGGAGTTCAGATAGTGAACTACTCACAATCCTCTTGCTAATCAGGATTTGGTTTTGGTCCTCTTGATCTAAAATAGTTAATAAAATGGTGAGCTACACTACCTTAATAAAAATATCACACTAATCACATATACAGAAAATTGAAGATTAGTAAAAAATAAAAAAAAAACAACTGATGGAGCTTTTGCTTTATTTAAATACATTTAAATTTGAAGATGTTTATTTAATACTTAATATAATGAATTTTCTAAATACAACTTATGAAGATCCATATCCATATCACTTTTTACTTTCACGCATAAAAGAATAAGAAATAATAGCTTTCATTTCTTACCTACTTACTGGTACTCTTGGGGGTCCATAGAGGTGTTCTCCCTACCCGTAAACCCAATATCCAATTTAAATAATTAACCAGTCTGTCTCCATAACCCGTCCGGTAATAGGCGCCAAACATTCTATCGCCTTGATACCCCATTTGGTATGAGGGTAAACCATATCTTCCAAATCTTTCTAGTAAGGGACTTCCCAACCCCGTTCGACTGAGGTAACGTTTACGATAGTGTTTCCTATGTACCGAGTCCGTCCGCATTTTTTCGGATACCTAGTAAATCTTTTACATACATATTTTTATCAACAAACAACTAACAAGCGCATACCAAATATCTTATTGTATATTCACAGATTAATCAAATACTATTTAAGCAAATAGTACGATTTCATACCTCAACAATTAAGAAATGTAATTGGGGCATTTATGTCAAATTAATTGAAAAAGTAATTTAAAAGTAATAATTATAATCATACGGTGAATCAATCAAACAAGTAGAACAGTACAGGAAAATAAATGAAAAATCAAGACAGTTGTAAACTAACCGGTTCTGGTTCCACTAGTAACGGAGAATAGGGTGAGGGATCCTCATCTGGATTAGTGTTTGAGATGTCTAGCTGTCTATTACACCTCTTAACGGGTATCAGATTTCTTGAATTTTTTATGTGGAATCCAAAACACTCATTACATACTTAAAAATAACTAAAAAATTCAAAATCGGTGTCAAAAACTCATTTCGACCAATTTTGGAGTTCTGGCACGGCGGTACCGGCTCCGTCGCCCATGATAGTGGTTTGCCTCGACCTTACATGTTTTGGTCAGTTTTGGCTGATTTTGGTTGTATCCTTGCAAAAAAACATGTTGAGGACATTGGTTGGCCAGGAAATCACAAAAAAACCGAACCTACTGGAGGGGAGAACCTCCAGGTGCAGCGGCTCTATTGGTCTTCCTTCGCGACTGAGGTTCTTTATTTGGCTAACCTGCACAGAAAATGACGGTGAACACAATGATCGAAAAATTACGAAAAAATGAGAATAAGAAAGGGGCTCATCGGAAAAATTTTAGGATTTTGGCCACGACAGCTTTGGCGAGCTTTGTCCGCGATTATTGGCTCACTCCGCCATTCCTCTTGCTTCAGTTTGGCAACACAGGTGCTAGGAATCAAATTTCGAGCATATAGGGATAATTTTTACCTTTTCTAGTGTCTGATGGTAGCTCCGGTGCGACCGTGGTTGGCGGTTGGTCTCCTTCTCTAGCGTCTGATTCTTCTTCTTCGATGGGGACTAGCGGATAGGGTTCAGGTTTTCGTGTGATGCGAACTATTTATACTCATTCCGCGTTGATCTGGATTGTTCATCACGGTCGATCTCGTCCGTTTGATCGCGCCTAAAGAATAAATGAATCTGAACCGTTCATTGCGATTGATTTCGATCGTATAATTGCGCCTGAGAGAAAAACGAATTCGAACCGTTCATGTGCGCGGGATCAATCTTGGACCGTCCGATCGTGGGGCACACAGATCGCTAGTGTGGCCTCTTACGTGGCACCGGCGTCAGCGTGCCTTGCCACGTGGCGTGCTCCAGTTTTTCAAGGCTGCTGACTGGGGAATCCTACGTGGCCGAACTTTTTTTTTTTTACATTTTGACACGTGTTTCTAATTTTTTTTTCAAAAATACCTTATCGAACTCAAATTTTTATCCATTTTTCTCAAAATTATTTTTGATTACATTCCTAACATATTTTTTTCAATAATTTAACAAAATAAATTAGATTAATTTATAAATAAAATTTTTTATTTATTTTTAAATTGCCAACATTGATCCCATGCCAAATTTTGAACTCGAATATTACATAGGTCAAATTTGGATTTGATAAAAACCTGTTTTGTACTCGCCATGTTGGCATCATTAATTAAAATAGTTAAAACAAGAATTGGATCCACAAAGAGCTTATGATGGGCTTTTAGGCCAATAAAAATATTGTTCAAATAAGGCCCAATAAATTATATAATTACCAATAAACCCCACAATTTGCTATTAATTAAAAAAGGACGACAAAACAACGAGAGGTGCAAAAATCGGCAACCTCATTTCCATATGTATATTGAAGAGATTACTTTCTATTTGTTCTTTAAGAATTCAAAAAGATTTTTTGATGAAGTAAATAAGATGATGTAAAGAAACCTACAAATTTAAAATTTATTTTTTATCAATAATTTCACGGGTTCAAATCATGTTTTCGCAAAAAATGTCGGGCTTTTCTTTTTAAGCATGAGGATATGACCGCTATACTATCACGGACAATTATAATGAATATTTTAAATTTTTAAATACATTAATTTATCGTGAGTAAATAGTAGGAATCGAACCCGTAACTTCTCATTGGCAAAGATAAATTATATCATTCGACTATATCCACATTTTTTTTTTACGATACGAATTTTTGGATAATATTTGTTCAAAATTATAGCAGATACTCTCTTAAAGATAATTTTATCAAATTTTACAACCAAATTAATTACAATTACCAATAATATAATATTAATAAAAATAATAATAATTTTTTAAATAATTACAAAAAAATTATATACAAATATAAATAATACCGAGACATGTTACATAGTAATTTTTCAAAAGAAATTAATATATTAATATATTTTTTTGTAATTATATATTATAATTAAATATAATTTTAGATATTAATTCAATTTGAATTTTAATGTAGGAAAATAAAATTAATGTGATAATGCATATAATAATTATTTATTTACTTTTATTTTTAAATATAAAATTTTTAGTTAATTATAAATTATATATTTTTAAATATAAAAACAATTAATGTGTGTTGACTAGAAATTATGTAGTATATAATTGTTAAATTTAAAAATCATTTTGATAATATATATACTTATTATATATTTTACAGTCTTACTTTATTTGTTTCAGTATTTTTCATTAATTTTTTTATATATTTTTATATTAATAAAATAATACTATTAATTTTTAAAATTTGTTTATAACACGTCCATTATTTTCCTTTTTTTTTATTTGTTAATTTTTTTAAATAAAATTAAGTAAAATTATTTTTTATTGCATGAATATCTATTTTTACATATTATTTGTTAGTTATTATTTGTAGTTTTTTAAAACAAAAATTCAAATAAAAAAAATTTATTAAACACGTAATTTTCTATTGGTTAAAAAAGAAAAAGAGGCAAAGAGAGAATCATGGAGGCGCGAAAATCAGTGACCTAATTTATCCATTTCTGCTTCCTCAAGCAGAGGATAAGGAACCTATGCTCTTTGCTTTGCAGTGTTAATGGCCGTATCAGTCGCCAACTGCTGCTTCTCTGCGCTCAGTTCCACCGTTAAAATTCGTTACCCTATCTCCTCCCAATGTCGGTTCGCCGCGTCACACGGGTCACTGAGTCCACTGACTCCCAAAACCACCATTCGTAAGAGACGAGGTGTGGAGAGAAGCCCGTCTTCCCCTGCTAAATCTATATCTCAGGTAAACCAATCATGCTAGCTATTTCTCTCTTCTCGCCATCATCTTTTTTGTGCTGTTAGTTTTGGAATTCACAAGTCGCAGTTGTTTTTTTTTTTTTTTTTAAATTTTATTTGGATAATAATTCGGCATTTTGATATTTTGAGCTCTATTTGCAGTTGTTTGTTTTGAACTGAAATGCCGGATTGATTCAATTTAACTATTTCTTTTTATTTCTTTCTGGTTTTTAATACCAGCAAGACTCGGCTCCCGAGAAGAAATCTCCTAGAAGATTAAAATATGAGAGAACCAAGTTACCCGGTGATGGAATTAGTGGTAGAGGGGATAGGGGAGGTTTTCAAACCGCGGCTTTTAAATCATTTGGCATGCAAAGAAAAGATAAGGAGTTTCAGCTTGATTCAAAGGAGCCACAGGTATATTTTCACGAGGATTACATAGCCTGAGCTTTTGCTTCTTGCAATTATGAGATTGTTAAATCTGGGTTGAGCTAAATTCGTGTATTAGCTAGTTACTTATGTAGGAAGCATCGGCTTGCATAAAGGGACTTGTATTGCTTGTACCTAGTTTGAATTAACCTGATTTATTTATCCAGAAACCTGTATTTTAGCAGTCTTTCCAACTTCAATCACTATTAATGACTTTGTATAAAGCATGTCATTTATGATATGTGAATTCTAATTTCAGGTTGAGCCGGGGAATCTTCAAGACACAGCTTTTCTTAATGCTGTTGTGAAGGTAACACTTGTTTCATCTTGTTCATGATAACATTTTAGACCGGTTGTCTACGTGATCGGTTTACCAATAGATCTGGGACTATTCCTCGTTAGATTTTAACTCTCATCTTATCCAGATCTACTTTATTTTAGAACTTCTATTTTACAAATGCCTTTCCCCCGAATATTTTTATATGTAACATTAAGCCAGAGGAGGGTATGGAAGCTGTTTCATTGGAAATATGTATACTCTCATCAATCTTAGTTTTGGAATAGTAGGTGCTCCAGAGCTGACACAGATCTTTTTAGATTTTAGTCTAAAACGTGATGCGAAGTTTGAAGGATTCTTGGTTTGTAGGGAAAAGATATTGCCGTTGCATTGCCTTGGTTCCTATCACTGTCATATCCGTCCTCTTCTAAAAACAGAGGATTTACATTATCAAAGTTTATTTATTTACATGATTCCGCTTCAAATGCATGAATAACTGAGGGTTTTTTTCCCTGCATTTTGAAGTTTTTATTGGACCCATTCGGCTACTTTTGTTTCTTCAACTCTTTGTCCAGGTTTATTGCACCCATACTGCACCAGACTACTCCCTACCCTGGCAAAAACAAAGACAATTTACCAGCACTGGAAGGCAAGTTTAAAAATCTTACCTGTTTGGAATTAAGCATGTAAAAGGATTTGATGGGAAACAAGGTTGAAGTCTTAATAGTTTTTCTTGTTTGCTACTGACCTGTGCAAAGCTTTGAAAGAGAAAGGTTAACTCTTCTTTTTCTGTTAACATTTTAGTTCACCTGGACGTTCTACTCTGCTGGTTGTTTAAAGTCAAACATTAGATCTTATTCATCAATATCTTTTCTTTTCTTGAAAGGCAGAGATTATATACTTTTTGCGGCATTATTTTGATACTTTCCTTCTTACAGTGCATTCATGATTGGGAATGGAAAACTTTTGACTAATGCACATTGCGTTGAACATGATACACAGGTATGCTTTTTGTAAAGCTTCATTTAACTCTGAATAGGAATTTGAGATGTTTTTATGTCATGGCTATATATTTTAGTCCTCTACAGAACACAATGCTTCTTCCTCTAGAATTGAGATTGTCAGCGGTTTGACTTGCACTTGCTTTTTCTTTTCCCCCTCTCCAAAAAGAAAAAGGAACGAATCAAATGAACAAGGCACCGAGTGGGTGCCACCCAAATACACAAACTATATGTAAAGAAAGAACAAAATATGTAAGATGTTCCCTAAATCCTCTTCAAATAACAGAGGCCGATCATTGAACAAAATACTCGGGGAAGGGAACTACCAATCTCTGATGCTATGAGAAAAAAGATATAATGCCATCAAAACCCTCATGTTCTTTTCCTTCCAAATGACCTATATGATACCCAGTGGAATAAGGGAGGCGATCTTTCTCCTTGTGCACCCGATGGCATCCCAAGCCAATAATTTATCCATATTCAAACAACTGACTTCCTTGGACAAACTTAGTAAGGACAAAGATAAATCTGATAGCATGATACCCTCAACACATTATAGGAGGAGGTGATTGGGGAATTTACCCCCTTTCAAGCACATTAGGCATCCATTAACAACGAGTCCGCCACGCTTCCTTGAGTTATCTAGAGAAAGGATTTCGTAGTTGCTTGATTACAAGTTGTGATGCAGGGAAATTAGGGTGATTTGTCTACTAAGAAATTGGAAGAAAAAATTAGATATCATACTTAAGGTTCTTAGGCATCATACCTAAGAGTTGATCCAATCATACGATTATTATGAGAAATTCTCAAAAATATTATTGATTACTTGCATGATCAATAAGTAAAATTACAAAATTATTTATAATAATTTTTAATTAACTATGCTTAACTAGAATTAAATTAAGAAATAGGAAACTAGTAAAAATAGGAATACTAATGTTAATAAGAATAAGAAACTAATACCAATAATATTAAGAAGTACTAATAAGAATAAAAATCTTAAATTACTAGACTATAATAATACTCCTAAATAATAAAATAATAAACTCCTAAATAGCATAGTTGTTTTATATTTAGTATAATTATAATTCCTAATATTTTAATAATTTATACTTTAATTCCCCAAAATCGACCATGATTATGGTCTTTTGAGTATGTAAATATTATGTGTATAAAAAACAAGATCGAGTTCTAATTCTACCTTGCATATGATTGCATGTGAATTCTAATTCCTCAGTGTTGCAAGGAATCTTCAGTCTTCTATGTGAATTCTAATGCTTGGGCATTACTTGGAATTGTCAGTCTTCTTTGAGTTTGGGTTAAAATAGTAAATTCAGTTTTTCGTATAGACAAATATGGAAGGTGAAGGCCCCTCCCAGGGTAGCTTTTTTCTCTTGGAAAGCAGGCGGTGGGTGTATTTTGATGATAGATAAGCTGAAAAGGAGAGGAAATGTTATGGTAAACTTGTGCTGCTTATGCAAGAGGGCGGAGGAGATTTGCAACCATATTCTATTTTGGTGCCCCATTGTGAATGGCTTGTGGTCTATGACATATATGATCCTTGGTTTCAATTGGGTTATGGCGGGTACTGTAAATGATTAATTATGAGCTTGGAAGGGATTGGCTGAGCGAAAAAATATTTGGGCCTTATTCCTCTCGTGATCTTTTGGTTAGTGTCAAGGAAAAGAAATAGGGAGGTTTTTGAGAGGGTGGAAGATGTTATGATACGACTCGAGAGAAATGGTTTTAGATCTTAGATTTTTTGGTTATGGATCAACTGTTATACTCCATGGAGAATTTAGGAGAATTAATTGATATATTTACTGACTTATAAATAATTTGGACATAGGTTTGCACCCCTTTGGTGCCGATACTTAATGATATGTTTTATATTTGTTATTTAAAAGAAAATTAACTTTTGCTAGGATTTTATTTAATTTATTTATAGTCAATTGGATGCTTCTGTATTTGCAATTCTTTGTTTTGTTTGAACTCATGATCTCTTTTAATTGTAGTCATGATTGTGATGACAGGTTAAAGTGAAAAGAAGGGGGGATGATACCAAATACGTGGCTAAGGTAGTTGCTTGAACCGGAAAGGTTAATGCTGAATTTCCGGTGTTTCTTTGCAGTATCTTTATTGGTTTTTCCTAATTCTTTTTGTTTTTAATAAATAGTGGTTTTCCTAATTTTGGGAATTCTCTTTATGTACGTTGACTAGCCTGCTTGAAAATTTTGATCTCCTCTCTTCCCTGCCCTATCAGTAGAACATTTTGAGATCATGTATTTGGATTGACATGTGGAAGTGAATGAGTATCAGTGGTTCTTGGAAATGGAGATGAAATTGCAGATATCAGTATTTTTAGGTGGTTCCGTTAAGACTTCATAATGCCTTCCCTCTCCCTCCTCCCCCAAGAAAAAAGAAAGTAAGAAGCAAAGTAAAAGTCCCTTTTAATCAGTTTACCTAAAAGTAATAGAACTCCTTTTTAATTGCTCAGACTATAATAATTGTCTTAAATATGATTTTGTTGATCTGCCATATAGATTGCTAAGTGTTTATAAGCACTATTGATTTTTTTAGGGAAACTAGAATTGCAAACACAAGGCACCAGAGGTTGCCGCATGAAACAAGTATACTTAGGAGAAGCAGTTAGTCAAAATGTTTATCTCTTGATCCTTACCAAAAAAAAGAAAATAGAGGACTAACCTAACAGGGTCCTACCCTAGGTGATGATTTTGATTTTATTTTTTCTATATTTTTTTTAATTTATATCATATGTTACAGGGGAAAGTTTACTTATCTATTTTTTTCTTCATTTTCTGCTTAATAAGCTTTATTATTTCCCTTTCCCTTTTCTTTGGCATCCCACATTGTGCTTATAATCTAATTAGTAGATGTTTATCCTTTTATAGCCAAATCTAATTGGAAGATTACTTATAATCAAGTATATACTAGAAGCATATTTAGAATCTGTTCTACTACTTCAGTTTAGATACATGTCAAAACAATTTGAGTTAAAAACTTTAAATATGCTTAATGGAAATCAATATGATGTTGTAACTCATTTTTCTCTCAGTGCATTATGTACAGGTTTTAGCAAGAGGAGTTGACTGTGACATTGCTTTGCTTTCAGTAGAAAACAAGGAATTCTGGAAAGGTGTAGAACCACTCCAACTTGGACGGTTGCCACATCTTCAGGTTAATATTCTTAGAGAAAAATACAACTAATAAAGAAAATATTGAAGTTTCTAAATCCTATCTAATCTCAAAATCTCCTAATTCTAACTGATATTAACTATGTAGCTTGAAGAATTTAAAAATACTCAAGTAGCATAAAACTAATATAGAAAATATCAAGAGTTTCTAAATTCTAAATAAGCTCAAATCTTCCTAAATCTAACTAATACTGACTAAACACGCTAAAGAATTTAAAAATACTAAATATATCATAATAATTAAAAAAATTTCCCATCATTAGAAATGTTCCACTTTAACTTCTCACTTTGAATAAGCTTCTGTTGCTAAGGAATTGGTTTTCTTTGTTGATGTTCTGCACGAAACCTTGGTTTGAGCTTTTCCCTTTTACTGGTTACAAGAAACTTTTTGCTATGACCATTCAATTGTGTGTCAAAAACTTCGATGCAAACATTATATTTGTGCTTCAAGATGACGTAGCCATATGTCCATCTGATGCAAATCTTACATCATATGCATAATACCGTGAGAAACTACACCTATCCGTTGAAACTAACAGACTTGAAGTATGGTGTTAGATTGCTTATTGGGTCCTTTAATTTCTTCCTCAAGATAGTTCTTCCTTCAAATTGGAGTAATGTTCTGCTGTCATCTTTATCACTAGTCTAAGTTATTTCGTTTTATTAGTAATTGTTTCCAATTTGATAATTTCTAGAAGTACTTTGCATTCTCAGTTCTGAGTGTATATATATATATATTCAGAAAAAAAGGAACTTGCGAACTGTTTTCTAATGCTTTTGATTGTCAGGATGCAGTAACTGTCGTGGGATACCCCCTTGGAGGAGACACCATCTCTGTGACAAAGGGTGTTGTATCCCGAATTGAGGTTTGACCCATCCTGTAAAAACAAAATCACGTTCAGGAATTTCTGTACTGCATGTATAATCATTTTGATGCTCTGATTTATGCGTTTTTAACTTGTTGGTTGAGTAGACTACTTCCTTCTGATACTTCTTTATCACAGGTTACATCATATGCTCACGGGTCATCTGATTTGTTGGGCATTCAAATTGATGCGGCAATAAATCCTGGTAAGTAAATTTTGATATTCGTAAATCTATACTGTTTAACATGAAAACTTCACAGTTTAATCTACTTATGGAAACTGCTTATGTCTACCTGCCTCATATTTAGCAATTCTTTTTTTCCTTAAAAAGTAAAAGCATAAAGTTTGTATCACTGTGATAGCCATTGCCTGTACTTGCTATATGGTAGGTAATAGTGGTGGTCCTGCATTCAATGACCAAGGCGAGTGCATTGGGGTGGCATTTCAGGTAAAAATACCTGAAACTGCATTAAAATTATATATATCACGTTTGATATGTCATGATGTCAGAGTTTTGTCCCCTACTCTTTAAAGTTGTACTGTGTTAATTATCTTGACATATTGGTGTTAGTTTTATCAAGACTTATAATTTCTGGACTTTCAATCTTGCTTTTGACAAATCTTTTCGTTATTTTCCTCTATTGTATTTTTACAAGACATTTCCTTTTAGGTTTACAGATCTGAAGAGGCTGAAAACATTGGATATGTGATTCCAACAACAGTTGTGTCTCATTTTTTGGATGACTACGAGAAGAATGGAAAATACACTGGTAGAATTTTTTCTTGCTTCACACTGAGATTATGGATTTCTGTGAATTTTGTGCATGGTTCTCTTGTGTTGGCAAATATAGTTGTTTACCATGGCTTCCGTATTGACCAGCAGAAGGCAGGCATCTCAGAAATATTAGCACATTAGGAATTAAGTGTTTTTCTATCGTCTTCCTTGAGGCTAAAACCTCTTTATTAATTTATGATGCGAGTAAACTCTCTGTGATTCTGCAAGCCCCTCTTGTATTCTAGTAAATCCTAGAAGCTAGGTATCTGTAATAGAGTGCTGTAGGCTTTGTAGTTTATGCATCTAATGCCATCTTTATCTTTCAAATCTATTAGGATTTTTGGCATGTAACTGTACTTTTCAGCTACTCGTTAACCATGCTGATTGTGAAAAAACATACTTGGAATCTATTAACAAGTATTTAATGCATTGCTTTCAAGGTTTCCCTTGCCTTGGTGTATTGCTTCAGAAGTTGGAGAATCCAGCATTACGTTCATGCTTAAAAGTTCCCGGTAACGAGGTATATCACTCAGATTCTTTTGTTTATTTTACTTTTTATTTTTTTAAATAAGTTTTTTTTGTTTATTTTGCTGGTAAAAATTCAATGATATTTATCATCTGCTTGAAATTTAGTGTCATTTTCAGTGTTGTATTTTTCTTTATGTTTGTTACTTGTCTGAAAAATTCATGTGAAGTATTAATGCTTCCTTAGGTTTTGTCTAGGATGGGACGGGAAAATTGCATGAGAAGTGATTTTTTGAACTTTTTGAGGGAAGGAGTTGAGGAACCATGGATAGAAAAGAGTGAAGTGGAAAGTAGTTGAATTTGTTGTGCTGAGAGGATGAAAAAGCAATAGGAAGTTGGTTGCTGAAGGCGCTGGTAGTTGAGGAAGAAAAACAAAAATGTCTAGGCAACAATCTGATATACATATGCTGTTGGACTATCATGTCTTTATGCTCAAGTTTGACCTATTTTAGCATTAAAAGGGCCCTGAGTATTGTTTTAGTTCGAAAAATGGTTAAGATTGTTTTATGGGTCTAAAGTTGTGATATTGTAACATAGGAGTAGTGTGATGAAAGAGTTACATGTTAGATGATGATGGATGGGGTTCAATGCAAGTGGCATGTAAAAAGATGAGGACTTTGTAATGACATTATTTATATTGCCTTTATAGAATCGGTAATGCTTTCATGCATCTGGATATAATTAAACTTCATCTAGTTCAGAAACTTAATCCTTTTCAGGTGATAAATCTTAGATAAGTTCAGAATAAATCTCCATTCCACCTACATACGGGCAATATTTGCTGAGCAGCTCAATTAATTGTAGTAATGCAAGCCTAATTTTGCAGGGTGTGCTGGTGCGAAGAGTTGAACCTACTTCTGATGCAAACAATGTCTTAAAGGAGGTATGCTAGTGATTTTTAACTTTATGATCTTTTCATGCTTCTTGGATGTTTCATGTGTTGGAAGAAAGATATTGCTAATAGGAACTCATGGTGAAAGTTAAAAGAAAGATGAATTAGCCTGCAAGAAGAAGCTTTACAAGAAGTTTTGTTGAGTGAAAACTTAATGGTTAACAGGGCAATTTTCTTCCCAGAAGATTTCAATGGATCTGTGTCAGGCACAAATTAATTGCTTTTCATATTTTTGCTATTAACAAGTGCTTCATATCTTCTTTTTTTGGCATAACTTAAAATTTTTTAAGAATTTTTTATAACAAGGACTTTTCTCACTATTTTTGCATGTGGAATTTTGATGTCATGCAATTGCAGGGGGATGTTATTGTAAGCTTTGATGATGTTCATGTGGGATGCGAAGGCACAGTACCCTTTCGATCAAATGAGCGTATTGCATTCCGCTACCTCATTAGTCAAAAGTAAGGACCCAGTTCTCTATTGAGAATAATTGAAGAATTTCCATATCTTCTTTAGATTTTTCTGTTTATTTGGTTGCTATAAAGGTATTCATGTAAAACCTATGTAGATTAAGAACTTCACTATGAGCATCCCGTGGGTTTTTCACAGGTTCAACTTGATGTATGGTATTTGTCCACTCCTGTATGCTTTTGTTATTTTTGTAATTATGTTTAGTGGACTATCTATCTGTTCGGATCTTTTTTGAAGAGTTCAATAAATAACTTATCCATACTTTTCTAAGAGGCTACTTTTGGTTTGCGCCTTAGCTTATGCAATTTCCAAATTTTTATGATGCCTTCTGTGGCTGTTAGACCATTGATCTTGCTTATGAGAAATCAGTTGGAATGCTTATTAAACTCATGAACAACATGCTGTAGCATTATACTTGTTGTTCCTTTTCCTGGATCTTTATGCTCATGACTTTTCATTAATCTTTTCCCCTTTAATGTCCATCTAGTGCTCCTGTGATATCTCTAGGCTTTGTCAAGTTACATCTATCTTTTAGTTAATGATGCTGTTACACAGATTTGCAGGTGATATGGCAGAGCTTGGTATCATTAGAGCAGGGGCCTTTATGACACTTCAAGTGGTTTTGAATCCTCGAATTCATTTGGTATGTTATTATCTCCTGCCTCTGCAGATAAATAAGATGAAAACATATATTTCTCTGCCAGGTTGAGAATCAAGTCAGCTCCCCCTATTTTTCATCACATAGCAGTTAATAAACCATATGGACCATATCGGGGTCTTTTCCATACAGAGGAGTGTCATGCTGCAAGATGCAATATTACTATTAAGATCTAAGACTACTTGTACTGATTGGAAGTGTTCATCATCTAGTTTCGAGAGTCTATTTGATAATAAACTTAATGTGGTTCTCCTTTGAAGTTGCGAGTTTTCTCCAAGGTTTATGCAAGATGAGAAAAAGGGATTGTTCATAATTGTTCAATTAGAATGCTCTTAATTGGATCACTTTATGAGTTTTTTATGTATCCATCTCTATTTTCAATTTTCATGTTCAGATTCTGTCTTTTCTGAAAAACAATTTACTGCTCATGTTTCAAGGTTCCTTATCATATTGATGGCGGTCAGCCTTCTTATCTGATAATCGCTGGTCTGGTGTTTACTCCGCTTTCAGAACCTTTAATAGAGTATGTCTGTTTCATTTCCTCATACTTAGGAGGATCTATCTCCTATTTTTGTCATTGTGAGAGTAATTTTATCATGTTTTCCTTCAACCTTTTGGTTGACAGTGAGGAGTGCGAGGACTCTATAGGAGTAAGTTTGCAACAAACTTCTTTTAGTTTGGTTTTGATTCTTACCTTTCTATGTTGCGGAATCTGATTTCATTTGTCTTTCTTCTGGAAAGTTGAAACTGCTGGCAAAGGCGCGGTATTCTTTGGCTAGGTTTAAGGGTGAACAAATTGTCATCTTATCACAGGTAAGCTGGATTTCTTTACTTCTGACCATATTGCATCAGTTGACTCTGGCTTGAATGTTGGTTCTGTACCTCTTTAATTGAACATGTGAGATTTTTTTTAGGCTTATTATTTCTTTCCGTTCCTGACTCTCAAGTACACGTTTGTGCTATGACTAGTTGAAAACATTTGATAATTCAGGGTGATACTTTATCTTAACATTTAAAATTGTCAAATTTATTCAACCCCCATAAGTTATAAATTTCAAGGTATTTAACACTATGTTTGAGTAAAAATTAGTATAAAAATAGTTATTAGAAATAATAAATAATTCCCTTTATCAGCACAATTACAAAGTTAACTAGTAAGCTCAAAAGAGAATGTTTTCCTTATAAATTTTTTTGTGTTTTTCTCCTTCCTTTCCCCAATTTAAGAAATGAAAATTAGAGTTTGACAGGCAAAAGATATTTGCCTCAATCCAACATAGTGCAAACGAAAAGTGAAATCCTCAAGTAGCAAGATACTGAATGGACTAACGGATTCAACACATCTCTACTTTGAATTACATGTAAGCTTTTGAACCAAACTTGGATATAAATACTCCTATTTTAAATTTGTGATGTCAAATAAAACTTAGTGAGAGTAGAGAACCGTCCTTGTATGCTCTCAGTTCTAAGAGCTGTCATCAAATTTCCCACTGGTCACTTTGGAGGAGTTTTGTGTTGTTGCATTGGTACACGTTGACAAAAATTGAAATCTTTTGGTTTATTTACTGTCCTTTTCTTATTAGGTGCTTGCAAGTGAAGTTAATATTGGGTACGAAGATATGGGCAATCAACAAGTAGGTTATATATTTCTAGCCAACAGCTTTACATCGCTCTGCCAATTTGTGTACGTTTACTGAAGGGAAAACTTTTCAGGTTTTGAAATTCAATGGAATTCCTATAAAAGAACATCCATCACATGGCACATCTTGTGGATAGTAAGTGATAACATCCCTTGCAAAAAGTTTCTCTTTATTATTTTTTAATGCTCATTATGAATACTGTGCTCGGTCAGAATGCAAGGATGAGTATCTTATTTTCGAATTTGAAGACAATTACATTGCTGTTTTGGAGAGAAAAGCGGCTACTGCATCTTCCTCTTGCATTCTTAAAGATTATGGCATTCCCTCTGAAAGGTCTTCGGATCTACTGGAGCCATATTTAGATTCACCTAGTGACAACCAGGCTCTGGAACAAGATTATGGGAACAGCCCCGTTTCAAATTTGGAAATTGGTGTTGATGGACTCCTTTGGGCATAACTGCGAAACATCTGGATGTTAAACTGGATCTTTTCGCAGAACAAAAACACAAAGGAGAGTGCAGGACGCCAAGTTATGACTTCAACAGCTTCCTGGTTCAAGGGCCATTAAATTGGGTACTTATACTTCTTTCCTCCTTATTTTGTTTCTCTCTAGGGAGGGTTGGGTTATATTACTTGATTGCAACAGTCTTACATCTATATATCTTTTCAGGGAGAGCATGATTTTGTGCTTAGGTTATTGCATTCAGCAGCCTTGAGAGCGATTGACATAATAATTTTGAATAATAAATTACATTAACTTATTCATTATTTAATTCAATATATATACTGGATAATTTCGTTAATTCATATTTTATCTTAAAGGAATATTATTTGATATCTTACAAATACAAAAAATTATGTTGTTATAATTCAATAGGAATATAGTGTTTTCTTTGGATAAATTATCACTTTAATTCTTGAAGTTTGATATTTGTTATAATTTAATCTTTAATATATTTTTATTATAATTAATTTCTAATGTTTCTATTTGTTTAAAACGTTCAGTTTTATTTCATTTTGTGATAGAAAAAACTAAAATAATTATCTCATGTTTGGTTACTCTAAAAAATAGTTTAAAAGAATGAATTTGATTGATTAATTAAATTGCTTGAAAGAAAATGAAGTTCACCAACCAAGTTATCCAAAACCAATATTTTTGTATAAAAAATGACAGGTGAAAGTGAAGAAAAATATTAAATTTGCACAAGCAGTGTTCGGTGACGATGGAAGGTGCGGAAGCGGGTGATCGGAAAGAGAAGCTCTTTGCGGGAGTGTCCGAGTGATATATGTATGTATTTACCTGCAAAAGAACAAGAAAAGAGTGCAAGAAAACAGAGAAAAATGAAAGCTTTTGGTGTGCGTTAACGGTAGCAGAGAGGAGAGTAGGTTAGGGTTTCTCGGGAAAGAAGACGAGTTTAAATACTCATTATGTCCCCGAACTCATTTGAGCTCGAACGCACCAAATCACTCTTTAGTGAAACGGTGCGTTTTGGTGTGGGCCGGGTCAACCTGTTTTCATACAGGTCTGATAACATCCCCCCTCAAGATGGAGAATAAACGTTTTCTGCTCTCATCTTGATCATATGCTCATTGAGAAGCCAACTAGATAGAATTTTAGTGAAAATATTTGCTAGTTGTTGCTTGCTGCTCACATGCCTCGTAACTATACTCTATTCCTGTACTTTATCTCTAACTAAATGACAATTTATGTCAATGTGTTTAGTTCTTTCACGAAACACAGGATTAGCAACTATATGTATGACATCTTTGTTATCACAATATAGGTCTGTTGCTTCTAAATTACACACTTTTAGGTTAAGTAAGTATCTTATCCAAGTTAGCTCACAACACACACTAGGTATGACTCTATATTCTGCCTTTGCCGAAGATTTATAAACTGTTTGTTGTTTCTTAAATTTCCAAGATATCAATGAATTGCTTAGAAGAACACAATATCATATAACAGGGTTTTTTGTGTTTGGGCACCCCGCCCAATCACTGTCAGTATAAACATTTAGTTTTAGCTCAGATGTATATGAGTAAAATAAACCTTGACCCGGTGTATCCTTAACATGTCTTAGGACTTTGTATGCAGCCTTTAAGTGACAGTCTTTAGGACTCCATGAACTGGCTTAGAACTTGAACAGAGTAAGCCAGATTAGGTCTTGTCAATGTGAATCGTTGTATTTAGTACTGGCTCTCCTTCATCATTCGAAAGTTTAATATTCTGGTCCAGGAGGGAGCGATGAGGTCTTGCTTCTTAGAACCCTTGTATCTTTCAAAACTTCTTATGCCATATTTCCTTTGGCATATATGAACCCCTCTATTTGATTTAGCAGTTTCAATGTCAAAGAAATACTTTAAATTTCATAAATTTTTAATTTCAAATTTCTTATCCAATGTTATCTTTTGTTCTTTAATAACAGATTCATCATTACCTGGTACAATAATGTCATCAACATATACAAGTAGCACGGTAAAGCTTTCACTATTAGTCCGTACGAACAAACTGTAGTCGGCATTGGATTGCTTGAATCCTTGTTGAGTAATAAACTCAGAAAATTTGGTATACCACTGTCTGGATGTTTGTTTAAGCCCATACAAGCTTTTTTGAAGTATGCATACTTTCCCTTCTCTCCTTTAAGGATGCCCAGGAGGAAGCTCCATGTACACTTTCTCATTTAAATCTCCATGTAAGAAGACGTTGCTGACATCTAACTGTTGAAGGTGTCATCCTCTAATTGCAGCTAGAGCCAACAATACTTTTACGGAGACGATTTTGGTCACAGGTAAGAATGTCTCGTGATAGTCTAGACCTTCTCTTTGAGTGAAGCCCTTAGCAACAAATTTAGCTTTGTGTCTTTCAATGGTCCCATGTGTTTTGAATTTCACTTTGTAGACCCACTTACATCCTATTGCTCTATTCCCTGCCAGTAAATCAACTACTTTCCAAGTCTTGTTTTCTTCAAGAGCTTGGAGTTCGTTTCCCATGGTATTTCTCAAGTTTGAGTCTTTGCTGGCCTCTTCATATGAACTTGGTTTATTATGGGATGCTACATTAGGTATATACTTCTTGTGTCCCCCCCATAAGTCTATTATATGCAACTGTGTTTGATAGAGGAATGACACCACCATTGCGGACTTGTGGATCAGACAACTCTATGCAATCATTGTTCCCTTGAATTTAATCACATATGTAGTCCCTTAAGTAATTTGGTGACCTCTTTATCCTCGTGGATTTTCTCCCTTGGAATCTCATCGTTATTCATATGGCCTTCTCTATTTTCTCCTTCCCCATCAATCATTTCTTGATTGTTGGATACCTCTTCTATCTGTGTGAGGTCCCTAACCTCCATATCTGGACTATCTCGACCCATCACTTGGTCCCTGGTGTTGTCTTGCACAAAGGTGTTTGATTTTAGTTCGTTTATCAATATATTTCTAGACTTATGTATAGTCTGCATATCCTTTATACACTTCTTTTCTTTGTGAAGAAATATTTTTTTCATGAATTATTACGTTTCTAGAAATAATAACTTCATTGCTCTCTTCATCTAGCAATTTGTATCCCTTTGTACCAAAAGGATACCCTATGAACACACATTTCTTGCTCTTGTATCAAATTTTCGCCTTCCACTCAATAAAGTATATGCGAAGGCTAAGCACCCAAATACTTTCAGGTGACTATAATTTGATTTTTTTCCATGTAGAATCTCAAAAGGTGTCTTCCCACCTAACATAAAGGAGGATGTTCTGTTAATTAAATATGAAGTAGTAAGAACAAAATCGCTCTAATACTTGGTGTCCATTACACTTTGGAATTTTAATGCCCTTGCAATGATGAGTATTTGTTGATGTTTTCTCTCCACTCTCCCATTCTGTTGTGGAGTTTCCACACAACTCTTTTGATGCATGATTCCCTTACCATTATAAAATTTATTCATTTCGAATTCTCTTCGTTATCAGTTCTAATAACTCTTACTTTACTGTCAAATTGAGTCTCAATAAAAGTGCAAAAATGTTGCAAATGTGAACTTGTGTCGGCCTTACTTTGCATCATATATACCCAAGTACATCTAGTAAAATCATCAACAATCGTTAAAAAATGTGTAAACCCATCATAAGAAATTTCATTACAAGGTCTACAGATGTCACAATATATTAAATCAAAACATTGTTTTGCTTTATTACTGCTATCAGAAAATGAAAGTTTATGCATTTTTTCTAATTGACATACATGACATAACTTAGAGTCTTTGTTTGCTAACATATCAAAATCAAGACTAGATTTGAATAAAAGGTGTCCAAGCCTATAATGCCATATATCAAAGTCTCTCTCCTCTTTGCTGGAGCTTTGTAGTGTCATTCTTGTAAAGATTAGTTGACTTGCGTTTTCTAAATTCTTGGGTTGTCTAAGCTGATATAGTTTATCATTAATCTCGCCCATCCCAAGTGTCTTCCAGGTCAAACGGTCTTGGATGACACAATATTGTAAAAAAATTAGACAACATCTTTTATATCCTGTATTAACCTTCTTGCAGATATTAAATTAAATCTAAATGAAGACACACATAACACATTGTTTAGTACTAGCTTATCACTTAATTTTACTACTTTTACATGAGATACATCTACACTTTCTCCATTTAGTAATATAATTTTAGATTTAACATTTGATGTTATCTCAGTATATAATTATGGTGTGTGTACTATGTGATCTGAGGCCCCAGTATCAATTATTCAAGTTGTATGTGTGTTAATATTTCTATCTATTGTGCATACATTAAAATAAGAAAATATATAAGAGAATGTAGTGAATTTCTGATCCTGAATTTGCTCCGAAGTTGTTTGTACCATATTGAC